TTTTGATGCTTGATGTACAGCAGATATAATACTATTATATCTCATGAAATTCACATTTATCTGATACATTTCTTATAATTTTTGAAGAGAGAAAAAAGTCCCATCTTCATTTACAATATCATTTATAAATCTTATACCATTTTCAAACCAATCTTTATAAAAAAATAGGTTTATTTTCTACCTTTATGTTATTATAAAGCCAGATTGGACTAGCAAGCAAGCATTCCCAACAGTCATATTCATCTTTTTCTCTGAGAAGTTGCTATGCTTTCAAAACATCTTGCCAAAATTTACTTTTGATATTTTGTTGTAATTTTTGTATATAAACACTTCCACAACCATACAATTTTTCAAGTTCTACATGTACATTTGACAAAAACTTTTAATCTTCTTTTAAACAAAAGCCGATTACTATTATGGTGATTTTTGCGTGACATTTTATGGATACAAGGACCAGTTACTGGCAGTTAAGAATGTAGCTACTAAATAATCGAAATTTCCACTAATAGTAGTATGGAAGTTTAAACGAAAAATGATACAATTTTTCCTTATATCCTTTGCCAAAGATGTAGTATTTATTGTGATATGTTCAAAAATATGACCGAGTTTGTTTTCAAGCTGTCGGCTGTGAAAATATGAAACATTTTGCATGGATTATACAGAGAAAAGGCATTATTATATGAATATTTGATGGTAAACTCAATGATAGAATTTTAAAAGAAAATGTGAGAAGATAGCTCTAATAAATTCTTTCAGGATACCAAAAGAAATAAAATGCTTCGCTGGGGCGCAGCTTGATACGACCGCAGAGGTCGAACCCTGAACAGTTGGGGCAAGTATGGACACAACATTCAAGCTTGATACAGCACTGAATTTGGATTGTAATTAAATATTTGACACAGCATAGGTTTCTGACACAGAATGAATGTGGTCTAAGAACTTAAAATTTTTTAATTTACCTATTCAAACCATATCATTATTATTTGCTTTTATATATAAATCAGAAATAACCAATTTAAAATGGAAAATTTTAAAGAAAAAAAAGGAAACCCCCCCCCCCCCCAAATTTGTTGAACCCCCTTATGATTCATCACCCCCAAACTCAATCCCAGCCTTCCCTTTGTGGTATGGTACCTTGAAGTACAATTTCAGAGAGATCCATACACTTGAACACAAGTTATTGTCTGGAAACTAGAAAAATGCTTGTTTTTTGGCCCCTTTTTGGCCCCAAATTCCTAAACATTTAAGGCAATTACACCCAAACTCAAACATAGCTTTCCCTTTGTGATATGGAATCTTGCAGTACAATTTCATAAAGATCCATACACTTACACACAAGTTATTGTCCTGAAACTAGAAAAATGCTTGTATTTTTGCCCCTTTAAGGCCCCTAATTCCTAAAATTTTGAGGGAATTACCCCCAAAATCAATCCCAGCCTTCCCTTTGTGGTATGGTACCTTTCAGTACAATTTCAGAGAGATCCATACACTTGAACACAAGTTATTGTCTGGAAACTAGAAACATGCTTGTTTTTTTTGGCCCTTTTTTGGCCCCAAATTCCTAAACGTTTAAGGCAATTTCCCCCAAACTCAAACCTAGCTTTTCCTTTGTGATATGGAATCTTGCAGTACAATTTCATAAAGATCCATACACTTACACACAAGTTATTGTCCTGAAACTAGAAAAAATGCTTTTTTTTTGCCCCTTTATGGCCCCTTATTCCTAAAATTTGGAGGGAATTACACCCAAAATCAATCCCAGCCTTCCCTTTGTGGTATGGTACCTTTCAGTACAATTTCAGAGAGATCCATACAGTTGAACACAAGTTAATGTCTGGAAACTAGAAAAATGCTTGTTTTTTGGCCCCTTTTTGGCCCCAAATTCCTAAACATTTAGGGCAATTACCCCCAAACTCAAACCTAGCTTTCCCTTTGTGATATGGAACCTTGCAGTACAATTTCATAAAGATCCATACACTTACACACAAGTTATTGTCCTGAAACTAGAAAAATGCTTGTTTATTTGCCCCTTTATGGCCCCTAATTCCTAAAATTTTGAGGGAATTACCCCAGAAATCAATCCCAGCCTTCCCTTTGTGGTATGGTACCTTGCAGTACAATTTCAGAGAGATCCATACACTTGAACACAAGTTATTGTCTGGAAACTAGAAAAATGCTTATTTTTGGCCCCTTTTTGGCCCCTTATCCCTAAATGTTTTGGGCAATTACCCCAAACTCAATTACAGCTTTCCCTTTGTGATATGGAACCTTGTAGTACAATTTCATAAAGATCCATACACTTACACACAAGTTATTGTCATGAAACTAGAAAAATGCTGGTTTTTTTTGCCCCTTTTTGGCCCCTTATTCCTAAAATTTGGAGGCAATTACCCCCAAAATCAATCCCAGCATTCCCTTTGTGATATGGAACCTTGTAGTACAATGTCAGAGAGATCCATACACTTGCACACAAGTTATTGTCATGAAACTAGAAAAATGCTTGTTTTTTTCCCCTTTTTGGCCCCTAATTCCTAAAATTTGGAGGCAATTACCCCCAAAATCAATCCCAGCATTCCCTTTGTGATATGGAACCTTGTGGTACAATGTCAGAGAGATCCGTACACTAACACACAAGTTATGTCTGGAAGTTACAAAAATGCTTATTTTTGGCCCCTTTTTGGCCCCTTATTCCTTAACTGTTGGTACCATAACCCCCAAAATCAATCCCCACCTTTCTTTTGTGGTATTGAACCTTATGGTAAAATTTCATGGAGATCCATTTACTTAAACTAAAGTTAGAGTGCGAAAACCAATGTGTCTTCGGAAGACGACGACGACGCCAACGTCATACCAATATACGACCGCAAATTTTTTTTGCGTTCGTATAAAAATGGGATCACCATGCGTTTTATCCTGCTAAAGCATACATCGCTTATTTATCTATTTTATTCTTCCCACTAAGTGAATGACCTCAGCGTGAATCCAAGCACTTCTTTGTGACAATTAAAGGCACAAAGTCAGGCAGCATATCAGATCGTCTATTACCGCAACCAACAACACAACAGTAGTCTGTGATGATATATAACAAGTTCTTTTTAAAGTCTTTTAATGTGTCATTGTTAATAAAGTTGTCTCGTCAATATAATTTTTATATTTTGATGCTTGTGTTGCAATTTTTTTGTACAAGTAAACAAACACACTTAATCAGGTGATTGTTTTTCCAAGTCTGAATGGTCACTGCTTATCAACCGTAAGCCGCCTGTTGATGAATTTTCGAGAATTATCGCGTTATTTCATAGTTTGGTTAACAAGGTTAGACATGTGCAGTTAAATGTGAAACTGATGTATTGAAGCTGGTAGATGGATTAGTTTAGATAGACAAAGAAGATAGTGTAATTTATGTGAATGTACAGAATAAGATGACACACTTAATTTCTTTTGAGTTGAAGATCTCTACACTACTCACGAAAACAGTATATAAATTAACTACTAGGTCTTTCTGTTATCTGTTTTTCTATAACGATCATGTACATACATAATTATAAAATTCTTATGCTGTCATTTGCCCAATTTATTATGTATATCATGATTTATACTTTTATTCTTTATACCAGTTATATACAGTGGTTTAAAAGAATAAAATTAGATTGTTTTGTCTTGTCTACTTTTGATCTTTTTCTAAAACAAATTACTGCAAATTATGTCCTGTTTTTAATAATTTATGCATCAAAGATCTTTAAAAACCTTTTAGAGCTAATTTCCTAATGCTTGTAGAGTAACACTTTGGTTGGCTTGCTTGCTTTGTTTAAATAAACGTTTGCTCAAGCATAGTAATTATGATTGACATCTGCAAACAATATAGATAGACGGAGTTAAACCTGAATACATTATACTTAAATTTGATTGGAAGTTGGAGGTTAGGAACACTCAATTGTACATGTAAACAGGTTTATCTATATTGTTTGCAGATGTCAATCTTAATTACAATGGTTGAGCAAACAAAGCAAGCCAACTAAAGTCTTACTCTACAAGCATTAGGAAATTAGCTCTAAAATTCCAAAATTTTAATTAGTATTAAAATAGAAACATTTTCTGTGAAATGATACATATTAAATGAAACAAGGTTGCTACGCCATAGCACAATGACCCTGCTACTGTGTAAATGAGGAATTACATTGTGTGTTTAATGTGTCATTGTGTTAGATAGTCATTATATGATAAAAGTCCTATAACTCCCGTCAAAGTACGTTATAATATGGTCAACTACACATGGTAACAAATAATCCTACCAAGTATGAAATCTTTCTGTTAAACAGTCTCTGAGTATTGGTGTGTTTTGGAAGGACTGTCAGATGGACAAAAGGATGGAAAGAGAACATTACAATATGCCCTCAACTGGACTAAAACAGTAAACATAGTTCTATCCAAAAAATACTTTCTATTCAGAAAAACAAACTCTCAGTCTTTACTTTTTTACATCCAATGCTATGAGCAATGATGAGCATGGCAAAACTTATATCACTCTACATCATCCTTCATTGAAAGATGATGGATAATTGTTATGTTTTCATTGTAACGAATACAATCTTATTGATTGAATATTTTCTATGGAAAATCAAGGCAAAAATAAATGCTCATTCAAGTCATCGATCATAATTCTAAAAACCTGAAATCAATTATTTTCCCAATTATTTTTTTTAACATTTTCAAAACTTCAAACTCTATTTCAATTGGCCAAGATCTAGAGAATAAATAGTAAAAGATCTGTTTAAAACAATACTTGTAAAATGCCAAGTAACAAAAATGACACTCCCTTGTTAGTAAGATGACCAGCTCACAGTTTCACAGTCTTTAAAAGCAGTATAAAAGTAGTCTTGCATTTAAATGATTCATATTATTTATATTTCTTATTTCCTATATATTTTCTGAACAATTAAATAACATTTTTGTCTGTTATGTATTTAATCAGTGATATGTTTTTCTAATTGGTATATACTTACATCCCAGAGGGTATACAGTCCATACCAAAACAGAATTATGTAAAACAGAAAATGCCAGCTACAACAGAAGTACAAGCATTTAAGTCATCAGCCTTCAAATATTGAAAATAAATAAAAATTCTGTTTTAACTTCTAGGTAAGTAAGTAAAATAATGGTGAACCATTTTATTACAAGTACAATGTACATAATATAAGCTTAACACTGCTTGGACTATTTTTGTGCTAAAAGATTAATGTCTGTATCCCATCCCTCCAAATGTGTCATTTTTTTTTCACCTTCAAATTCAGATATCCATTTAAACTCACTTTAAAATATGCAGAACACATCCATAATATGTATGACTTTCATTCAAAATATCTGAAATATGAAAATATCATCATCCACCTTACGAGTGAAAGTATAAAATAACTAGAGGCTCTAAAGAGCCTGTGTCGCTCACTTTGGTCTATGTGCATATTCAACAAAGGACACTCTCCCACATTGTAGAAAAGAATAGAATTCATGACAAAAATCTCTGTTTTGTTGATTTTGTATTGCTGATCATTAAGTTTGTATAGTTTCTCTCTATCTTCTTTAGTTTTTGCTCAAAACACAAAAGAAGATAAAAAAATATCCTCATTTAAGGGCAATCACTCCTATGAAGAGTGACAGTCTACTAACTATATTGGCCAAATTTGACTGTTTAATAGATCTTGCCTTGCTGATCATTTTTGTGATTTAAAGTGTGTATTTATCTATTATAATTTTTATAAAAAAAATTGGTAAAAATCGTCATTAAAGAGCAATAATTTCAATAATGAGTCATCAGACGATTTCCTCTATGTTGCCTTAATTGTAGATCTTGTCTTGCTGATCATTTTTGCATATTTAAGTTTCTATCTATCTCTTATAATTTTGAAGATATAAGGCAAAAACCCAAAAAATTGGTAATAAAATGCTTCGCTGGGCACAGCTTGATACGACCGCAGAGGTCGAACCCTGAACAGTTGGGGCAAGTATGGACACAACATTCAAGCTTGATACAGCTCTGAATTTGGATTGTGATTAAATATTTGACACAGCATAGGTTTCTGACACAGAGAGAAAGTGGTCTAAGAACTTCAATTTTTTTAATTTACCTATTATGGTCCAATGTCCAAAATCAAAATACATGGTTAGATTCAGCATATCAAAGAACCCCATATATTCAATTTTTGTTGAAATCAAACAAAGTTTAATTTTGGACCCTTTGGACCTTAATGTAGACCAATTTAAAAAATGGGACCCAAAATTAAAAATCTAAAAACACGGTTAGATTTGGCATATCAAAGAACCCCAATAATTCAATTTTTGATGAAATCAAACAAAGTTTAATTTTGGACCCTTTTGACCTCAATATGAACCAATTTGATAGCGGGCCCACAAATAAAAAATCTAAATACATGGTAAGATACAGCATATCAAAGAACCCCATATATTCAATGTTTGTTGAAATCAAACAAAGTTTAATTTTGGACCCCAATTTGGACCAACTTGAAAACTGGGCCAAAAATCTAAAATCTAAATACATGTTTAGATTCAGCATATCAAAGAACCCCATATATTCAATTTTTGTTGAAATCAAACAAAGTTTAATTTTGGACCCCCAACTTGGACCAACTTGAAAACTGGGCCCATAATCAAAAAATCTAAACACATGTTTAGATTCAGCATATCAAAGAATCCCAAAAATTCAATTTTTGTTAAAATCAAACTAAGTTTAATTTTGGACCCTTTGGACCTTAATGTAGACCAATTTAAAAAACGGGACCCAAAATTAAAAATCTAAATACACAGTTAGATTTGGCATATCAAAGAACTCTAATAATTAAATTTTTGATGAAACCAAACAAAGTTTAATTTTGGACCCTTTTGACCTCAATATGAACCAATTTGATAGCGGGCCCACAAATAAAAAATCTAAATACATGGTAAGATTCAGCTTATCAAAGAACCCCATATAGTCAATTTTTGTTGAAATCAAACAAAGTTTAATTTTGGACCCCAATTTGGACCAACTTGAAAACTGGGCCAAAAATCTAAAATGTAAATACATGTTTAGATTCAGCATATCAAAGATCCCCATACATTCAATTTTTGTTGAAATCAAACAAAGTTTAATTTTGGACCCCAACTTGGACCAACTTGAAAACTGGGCCCATAATCAAAAATCTAAACACATGTTTAGATTCAGCATATCAAAGAACCCCAAGAATTCAATTTTTGTTAAAATCAAACTAAGTTTAATTTTGGACCCTTTGGACCTTAATGTAGGCCAATTTAAAAAACGAGACCCAAAATTAAAAATCTAAATACACGGTTAGATTTGGCATATCAAAGAACCCCAATAATTCAATTTTTGATGAAATCAAACAAAGTTTAATTTTGGACCCTTTTGACCTCAATATGAACCAATTTGATAGTGGGGTCCACAAATAAAAAAATCTAAATACATGGTTAGATTCAGCATATCAAAGAACCCCATATATTCAATTTTTGTTGAAATCAAACAAAGTTTAATTTTGGACCCCAATTTGGACCAACTTGAAAACTGGGCCAAAAATCAAAAATCTAAATACATGTTTAGATTCAGCAAATCAAAGAACCCCATATATTCAATTTTTGTTAAAATCAAACAAAGTTTAATTTTGGACCCTTTGGACCTTAATGTAGACCAATTTGAAAACTGGACCCAAAATTAAAAATCTAAATACACAGTTAGATTCGGCATAACAAATAAATAAATGTGGTCAAAGATTTTACAAATCTAATGCGCCATACTGGTCTTCCTTTATAAATATGCATTTCTTTAAACATAATTTAAAAGCAGTGTAAGGGAAGTAACCAAAACGTTGTATTTGGATTACCTCCCTTACACTGTTTTAAATTATCTTAATTGTTCATTAACCATTACTTTATACATAATTTAAAAGCAGTGTAAGGGAGATAATTTCAATGATGTATTTGATTTATCTCCCTTACACTGCTTTAAATTTTGTTTTGTACTAAAGTATTTGTCCATTAATGAGGACAACCTTGTTTTTCCCCCTTTTTTGCCCCTAATTCTTAAACGGTTTGAGCAATAACCCCCCAAAGCAAATCCTAACCATCCCTTTGTGGTATGGAAACTTGTAGTATAATTTCAGAGAGATCCATACACCGTTCCACAGTTATTGTCTGGAAACTAGAAAATGCTTATTTTTGGCCCCTAATTCCTTAACTGTTGGTACCATAACCCCCAAAATCAATCCCCACCTTCCTTTTGTGGTATTGAACCTTATGGCAAAATTTCATAGAGATCCATTCACTTAAACTAAAGTTAGAGTGCGAAAACTAATGCGTCTTCGGACGACGACGCCGGACGACGACGACGACGACGCCAACGTCATACCAATATACGACCACAAAAATCAGGAATAGGCTGACGATTTCGACCATGTTAGACTTATTTGTAGAACTGATCATTTTTGCAATTTAAAGTTTCTCTCTATCTATTATAGTTTTCAAGATAATAGGCAAATTGAAAAAAAAAATGGTAAAATTTGTCATTTAATGTCACAACTCCTGTAAGAAGTTGTCTGACAGTTTTGACGTAAATGTACAATTGGTAGAGCTCAACATTTTGAACATTTCTCATTGGTCAGATTTTCTCTATTCATAACGTTTAACAGTTTTCAAAATAATAGGCAAAACTTGCATTTTACCCCTGTGTTCTATTTTTAGCCATGTCGGCCATCTTGGTTGGCAGGCAGGGTCATCAGACACATTTTTGAAACAGTAGTTTCAGTTCTGATAAATCAATTTGGCACCAAAAAAAACTTGGGGAATGTGTCCATGGGACATACACAGGGTTTCAGCTAAGATTTTGAAGGCTTTAGTCACTTTTGTGCAAGATGAAAATCAACTTTATTCTAGGTTACTGCAAGGGACCAAGGACGTATATTACTAGCTATACATATGCCTAAGATCTTCAAGGACTAGGATCTTTGAAGGCCTAAGGCATGCTACAAATGTAGGCAGTTATTGCATGATTTGACTGATGTGATGCTTAAATATGAAGATAAGAACAAGGATCCGGAAATCAAATTCACAATTCACTTTTATATACAAAAGGGGGGCATCATCTACATGTATGATACATGTAGATGATGCCCCCTTGCATATAATGTTATAAAGGGACATTACTCAAGAACGGTAAAAGTGAAGCTACCCAAAACCGTGGAATGACCCTTATACATAAATTTCCGTTTAAATGATGTAAAATAATCATATTGTCACTGACTTCGTTTTAACGGTATACATCATTCAAAATGGTGTTCTATGTGAAATAAATGGGGAATGTGTCAATGGGACACACATGATGCCCCCGCTTGAATGTAATGTTATAAAGGGACATAAACTCAAGAACGGTAAAAGTGATGCTACCTAAATTCTTACTTGATCTGAGTTATGTGGTAATAAGCATTGTGTATAAGTTTCATAACATTTCTCAGAGGAAAACTTAAGTTAGAGAACAGAAACGAAAAATTCAGCAATTTTTCCTTTTGTAAAGGGCTATAACTGTAAAACAGTAAAAGTGACGCCACAAAAATTCAAACTTGATCTCTGTTTTGTGGTAAGAAGCATTGTGTATAAGATTCATAACGTTTGGTTGAGGCAAACTAAAGTTAAAGAACAGAAATGAAAAATTCAGTAATTTTTCAATTTGTAAAGGGACATAACTCTAGAATGGTACAAGTGACGCCACTGAAATTCAAACTCGATCTGTGTTTTGTGGTTATGAGCATTGTGTATAAGTTTCATAACATTTGGTTGAGGCAAACTTAAGTTAGAGAACTGAAACAAAAAATTCAGCAATTTTTCCATTTGTAAAGGGGCATAACTCTAGAACGGTAAAAGTGACACAACCAAAATTCATACTTGATCTGTGCTTTGTGGTAATAAGCATTGTGTATAAGTTTCATAACATTTGGTTGAGGCAAACAAAAGTAATAGAACGGAAACCAATTTGGGGACGTACGGACAAGGGTAAAACTTAAAAAGTCCCTCCTTTTATTTACTTTCTACAAATATAGATTAAGTAGCATTGTGATATACTTTTGCATCATTGATTGTTAATCTAAATTTATCAGCTATGCAAATCCTTGTATATTGCTAGGGTAATAGGTTAATTGTAATTAACAGAATTATAGAAACAAGATCTCTGATACAAGATATACCTATATAAGGTGGTCTTACAATAGACATACATAATTACACATATAAAAATAAATTGATCTAGCTTAATACCTTATCCAGTAATGAAGTTATATAAAAGTGAATTCAGCAAACTATTTTTTAGTGTACGGTGTTTTCTTTTGAAACTGATCAGGTTAATTCAAATGAAGATAACATTTATGAACATTTATTTACTGTCAGACTACTAAAAATGTTTTCAAAAAGTAATCATCATCCTTACAGAAATTTTTAGTTTTGATAAATTTATATGGCTCACACTACTTCAGAATCATAAAGGAAGCAACTTCTCTTTGGAAACTGAAAAGGTAAACTCGCAGTGCTACAATGTATGGATTTTAGTTGGTTAATTTTTGCCATTCGTGTACTACTTATTTCATTCTTTTTATGTAGTACAAATCCAATAATGTATTTCATGCCTTCTATAGTTTTACAATTATTTTTTCCAGTAGTTAGGCACTACCATCTAAAAATTTATCAATGATGCATATTTTAGTAATAAATTTAAAAACAGAAAAAAAAATATAAAGGGATATAACTCAAGAACTGTAAAAGTGACGCTACCCAAATTTGTACTTGATCTGAGTTTTGTGGTAATAAGCATTGTGTATACGTTTCATAACATTTGGTTGAGGCAAACTAAAGTAAGAGAACGGAAACAAAAATTTCGCAATTTTTCCATTTGTAGAGGGCATAACTCTAGCACAGCAAAAGTGACGCCACCAAAATTCCAACTTGATCTGTGTTTTGTGGTAATAAAAATTGTGTACAAGTTTCATAACATTTGGTTGAGGTAAACTAAAGTAAGAGAATGGAAACGAAAAATTCCGCAATTTTTCCATTTGTAGAGGGGCATAACTCTAGAACAGCAAAAGTGACGCCACCAAAATTCAAACTTGATCTGTGTTTTGTGGTTATAAGCATTGTGTATAAGTTTCATAACATTTGGTTGAGGCAAACTGAAGTTAGAGAATGGAAACAAAAAAATTCAGCAATTTTTCCATTTGTAAAGGGCATAACTCTAGAACGGTTATAGTGATGCCACCAAAATTCAAACTTGGTCTGTGTTTTGTGGTATAAAGCATTGTATATAAGTTTCATAACATTTGGTTGAGGCAAACTAAAGTTAGAGAACAGAAACTAATTTTGGGACGTACGTACGGACACACAAGGGTAAAACTTAATGCACCCTCCGCTACAGCGGGGGCATAATTAACAATTTATCCATCAAAATTCAATGAGGAAAACTATACTATTTATGTATATTTATTGCTTTTCAGTAAGTAAAGAATGTATAAATTTAAATAAATAAATGTCACAAATTTTTCTAAAATTTTACATACAACTTTGGCTCGTTAAACTATAACTGAAAATCGAAAAAATAATGCATTCAACAACATATAGATTTTTAGGAAAAATCTATGTATTAGAAATTGGAGATTTGATCATTCATTTTAAGACAAATTTAAGAAAAATTATTGCCACTTGTAAGTGCTTTCTATACAAATGTTCACCTATTTTGAAAGAATTCAATCAGTAATATTTCAGATAATAAAAGATATAAATGCATTATTTTTTCGATTTTCAGTTATAGTTCAATAAGCCAAAGTTGTATGCAAAATTTAAGCAAAATCTGTGACATAGGCATTAGCCCATTTACTGTTCTTTGACTTTAAGGTAGATTAGGTGTCTTTTTCTGAACATCCCTTCTAGGCATGTTGCAAAATACGTGTTTTGTTAGATATATTTTACCAAGTATTATTCAGTATACAACAAAAACATCTTAAACTTGAAATTTTAGGATAAAACTATCAAAACATTAAGTGTATTTACAATTTTTATAAAAAATTCTTTTAAAATCTGTTGAATGCAAATTTTTTAAACATTATTCTGGGAAATATTATGTATTTAGTCATTTCTATTTTGGCTAATCTTATATGTTTAAGGTGTCAGCACTTGTTTAATCTGGTTGACATTAATATATTGCTACAGGCAAGATGGTGATCTACAAATGTATATTCATGTTGGATTACCACATATAGCTGAATCAGTAATATTAACCCTAAATATTTTTGTAAATTCGTGTGTGCATCATTTTTGTAGTTCACTTATGTAAACAGTATTACCATGTATCTTCAAATTTCTTCATGACACTGGGAGCATCAAGTTTAGCCCTTGTTCTCATCCAATACAGGATCTGTCTCTCTGACATACTTGTCCTTTTTGAGAGTTCCTATATCATAAAAAGATACAGAAAAAAATTACCTTTTGAACTTATATAATTGTAAATGTACATGTACTGTGAACATTATATTTAAAATTCCATGTGTACTAAAATGAAGTGAAACAACTGTCCTTTCATCAAGAGATTGCACTACCCCTACACATCAAAATTTTCAAGAAGATACTTACAGAATCTTTAAAAACTTGGAAAAAACCCAGATTTTGCCAAAAGATATTCACAAAGACATAGTTTTTGCCTGGCCTGCAACAAAAGTTGTGGTATGTGATATCTAAGAGTTACTTTTTCTGGCCAAAGCCTAAATAATTTGCTGTTTCCACGTTTAACAATATCTTGATGGAATTTATTCAAGATAAGATGTTGTCACCTAGTAATTGTTATCTAACCTTTTAAATCATTTTCAAGCTCCAACAATTGAATGTTAAAGTCAAAAAAATGTATTGTGATACTAAGTTATTCCTTAAGTTCATACTCTATCAATGTTTTTAGTATTGTAAAGATGTATGCTGAGCAGTTGAAAGTCTGTAATATGAAAGTTTTACTACAAGTATCACATAAACTAAACATTATTGGTGTTATATGAAAATGAGGTCACAGTCAGATCAACCATGCCAGACAGACATGTACACCTTACATTCATTCCATACACCAAAATAGTGTTCCTATCACTAGTAGTACCCGAGAAACAGACCAAACCACAAAATCTTAACATAGACCAACGAACCATGAAATGAAGTCATATCATATGGACCCTGCCAGACAGACATGTCCACCTTACAATCCTTCCATTCACCAAATATAGTTGACCAATTGCTTACAGTATCTGATAAACTGACAAAATTACGAAAATTAATCATTGACCAACAAACCATGAAAATGAAGTCACGGTCATATGAATTCTGCGAGACAGACATGTCCTCCTTACAATCATTCCATTCATACTACCATTCCATTCACCGAATATAGTTTACCTAATGCTTATAGTATCTGAGATACTTGACTGTGTAACTTTAACCTTGATCACTGATCATGAAATGAGGTCGAGATCCCTACGTGATGCACATGAAGACGTTGCAAGGAACCCAAATACCAAATTATTGTTATCCTATTACTCAAAATATAATAAGTGAGTATTTCACTTGACAAATAAACTAATTTTTTTACAAGCAGTCACTGAACCATGAAAATGAGGTCAATGGAAATATGACAGACAGAAATTTTGTCATATATATGTATCTGTATACAAGGTATGAAGCATCCAGGTCTTCTACCTTCTAAAATATCAAGCTTTATACAAGTTGTGTATGCCATTGCCACCACCGATTGTAATCCCTATGTCTCACATACTGTGACCTTCATTGCAGGTGACACAAAAATGAAACAAAATTTAACAGTTTTTTACTAATACCATTTTGCAAGTCATTTCACACATATGATTTGAATATTATTTACCCTATACCTGCATCTTCGACCCAAGAACATAATAGTTATAATGATATGACCAGGACAACTTTTCAATTCCTATCTCAGCTGTCACTTTGACCTTCAAAATATGACTAGGTGAAGGTCATCAAACAACCTTGGTTAATGGTCAACAATTACTAAAAGCACGACATTGATCTGGCAGTACAATGGATGAATGATACAGATAAGATATTGTTTTAATATCTTTTTAATTTAAAGGAAACTAGAAAACCGACATGTCAGCAAGTGCCCTGCTTGCCGTGCTTGCAAATTTTTGTGTGAGGTACAGAGACTGGTGCATACAAAATAATTTATGTTCAAGGGGTGTCATTTTCAAAAATTTTGACACCATGAATTAATTTTAAGATGTTTTCTCGATAACTATAAAGTTTTGTTAAAATCCAAGCACTATTAATTTTGGTATGTACTTTGGTAAATGGTGGCCAATCAATAATTTTTTGACTAGCGAATCATTTTGGAATAACAAATTATACATACCAAACATATTGATTTTTATTGAAATCCTAGCAAAAACAGATATTCTCAAAATGTCTATTTAGTAACAAAAACAAAGTTTTTACCACAATTTTGACATCAAGGGATAAATTTGGAATTCAGTTTACACATTGTTACACCTATATCTCAATGATTTATGAAATCCTAACATAAAAAGACTTTTCTGAAAATTTGTGATTTTGTGATCTAACTTTTTACCCAATCTTTGACATTCAAAATCAATTTGGAAAAGCACATACTTATGAGTCTTTTTTTTAAAGTCCTATAATAACAAGAGTGGACACACAGAAATGCTTGCCTGTCGTATATTTCTAATTGAAGTTATGTTGAAAGTAAATGCTATCAGACATACATTATAAATTTTAAGCTGTAAATAATGAGATAATGTCGCTGCTGCTAGTGCCTGTATAAAGGCTAAAGCCGCTGCCAGGCCTGCTGAAGACAACTATCATAGTGTCTTCATACTACTAATTGTATAGGTTATTATCCGCTATATGAAGATATGCTGGATAACTGTGAATAAGAATGAAATAACTTAGTGATATACCATTGATATTGATTATTGTGATTTATGATGGCAGTGAAGAATGAAAAAAACTAACATTGACCTATGAACCATGAAAATAAGGTCAAGGTCATATGAACCCTGCCAGACAGACAGATACGCCTAACAATCATTCCATACAACAAATATAGTTGACCTATTGCTTATATTTTCAAAGAAACAAAGTTCAGCATTAAAACTTAACATTGACCAATGAGCCATGTAAAAGGGGTTAAGGTCATTTGATACCTGGCGGACAGACATAAACACCTTATAAACATTCCATACACCAAATATAGTAGACCTATTGCTTATAGTTGAACAAAAATAGACCAAAACACCAAATTTGAAAACTGAGCAATGAACCCTGAAAATCAGGTTACGGTCAGATAAAACATGCGAGACAGACATGTACATCCTAAAATATTTCCATACATCAAATATAGTTCACCTATTGCATATAGTATAAGAATAAAGGACCAAAACAAAAAAAAATTAACTTTGACCACTGAACCATGAAATTGAGGTCAAGGTCAGATGACACCTGCCAGTTCGACATGTACACCTTACAATCATTCCATAATCCAAATATAGTTGACCTATTGCTGAAAGTATTAGAAAAATAGACCAAAAACAAAAACTTAACATTGAGCAATGAACCGTAAAAATGAGGACAAGGTCAAATAAAACATGCCAGACTGACATGCTCATCGTAAAATATTTTCATACACCAAATATAGTTGAATTATTTTATACAGTATAAGAAAAACAGACCAAAACACAAAAACTTAACTTTAACCAATGAACCATGAAAATGAGGTCAAGGTCAGATGACACCTGCCAGTTGGACATGAACACCTTACACTCATTCCATACACCAAACATAGTAGACCTATTGCATACAGTACAAGAAAAACAGACCAAAACACAAAAACTTAACAATAACCACTGAACCATGAAAATTAGGTCAAGGTCAGATGACACCTGCCAGTTGGACATGTACACCTTACAAGCATTCCATACACCAAATATAGTAGACCTATTGCTTATAGTATCTAAGATATGGACTTGACCACCAAAACTTAACCTTGTTCACTGATCCATGAAATGAGGTCAAGGTCAAGTGAAAACTGTCTCACGGGCATGAGGACCTTGCAAGGTACGCACATATCAAATATAGTTATCCTATTACTCATAATAAGAGAGAAATTAAGAATACTAATAAACTGTTATCACAGAGATATGTCTCACCTTTTTGTAATTTTGATAATGCAAATGTTGAAATAAAAATAGCAATACTTTAACATGTAAGTTATGCCGCCGATGCCGGAAACAGCATACTCTGTCAAGGCGAGACAAAAATCTTAATTTTTTTTTCAAGTAGTCACTGAACAATGAAAATGAGGTCAAGGTTGATGGACATATATATGACAGACGGAAACTTCATAACATAAGGCATCTATATTCAAAGTATGAAGGATACAGGTATTCTACCTTCTGAAATATTCAGCTTTTAAGAAGTTAGCTAACGCCGCCACTGTTGCCGCCGCCGCCAGATCACTATCCCTATGTCGAGCTTTCTGCAACAAAAGTCTTAGGCTTGACAAATACCATATTTCTAAAACTAATTGTGATTTTTGGACAAAAAATAAGTTTATATCATTTATTCTTTTCATTCTAGACACCTTCAATCACTTTGAAACAGCTTATTACAATTTACACTTATGTATTTTTTTTTTGTGGTCACTTTAATTTTTTGACAAAAACTTTGTTTTCATCACATCTATCCCCTAATGTAACTGCACATTAATTTTTTTGGTTAAATGGTAGATAAAAAAAAAAAACGTTTCTAAAAATTTGTGAATTAAAAAATCAAAGTGCTGGATAGCACCTGTGGAAAGTTTGTAACAATAGATGTGTATTATTTCAAATAGGTTGTAGATGTGTATTATTTCAAATAGGTGGTAGATGTGCATTATTTCAAATATATATTTAATCACATGTTTTTCCGAAACCATTGTCTCATCAGCAATTATCAAAAATCACTTTTTTTCATATGTTTGTCATGTGAAATTTTGATAATTTCTATTCAGTGCAACCTTAAACTGTAGATTTAAAATAATGAAATATACAGAAAGCTATGTTAATTTCTTTCTGTGCCCATCCCATGTAAAGGGCCTGTGATTTTAGTATTTTTTTTTTATTAAGGTCCCATACAAGAATATATATGGTTTAGGGGTGGGGATCTCAACCCTTTACAAGTTCTCAAACAGGAGGGGGGTGGGAGTGAACCCAGGGGACTCGGCCTTTATTTCATTTGATTTGTTTTATTGTCCCATACAAGAATACATATGTTTTCCGGGTGGGGATCTCGACCGTTTACAAGTTTTCATAAAGAAGGGGGGTGGGGGTGACCCCCGTGGACTTCCACTATATTTCATTTGATTTGTTTTAATGTCCCATACAAGAATATATATGGTTTCGTGGTGGAGATTTCGACCGTTTGCAAGTTTTCAAAAAGAAGGGGGTGACCCCCGTGGACTTCCCCTATCTTTCATTTGATTTGTTTTATTGTCCCATACAAGAATATATATGATTTAGGGGTGGGGATCTCAACCGTTTACAATTTCTCAAACAGTAGGGGGTGGGGATGACCCCCAGGGACTCGACCTATATTTCATTTGATTTGTTTTATTGTCCCATACAAGAATACATATGTTTTCCGGGTGGGGATCTCGACCGTTTACAAGTTTTCATAAAGAAGGGGGGTGGGGGTGACCCCCGTGGACTTCCACTATATTTCATTTGATTTGTTTTAATGTCCCATACAAGAATATATATGGTTTCGTGGTGGAGATTTCGACCGTTTGCAAGTTTTCAAAAAGAAGGGGGTGACCCCCGTGGACTTCCCCTATCTTTCATTTGATTTGTTTTATTGTCCCATACAAGAATATATATGATTTAGGGGTGGGGATCTCAACCGTTTACAATTTCTCAAACAGTAGGGGGTGGGGATGACCCCCAGGGACTCGACCTATATTTCATTTGATTTGTTTTATTGTCCCATACATGAATATATATGGTTTAGGGGGGTTACAAGTTCTCAAACAGACAGGGGTGGGAGTGACCCCGGGGATTCCCCCAATATTACATTTAATTTGTTTTATTGTCCCATACAAGAATATATATGGATCTCGACTGTTTATAAGATAAAACCACATTCTCAAATTAAGGGGAGGGGTGACCCCCAGGGACTCGCCCTATATTTTATTTGATTTATTTTATTGTCCTGTGATCATTACTGAAGACCATGTGTGTCTATCACTTACTGTTTTCAAGTTATAGTCATTAAAATAAAATCCCATAGGGTTCTATAGTAATTATAGTCCGATTTTGTTATAGGCCGAGTTTGTTATGGGCCGAGATATGAGGATACTTTTGATACACTCGGGCTTTTACGAATAAGTGTAAAAAAAAAAAACACACACCGTGAAATAAATATCAGGCCCTCTTAATTTTCAATGAATTAAACGTAGAAACTGCTGCCTGGTGTTGATGTGTATTGGTTTTATCTTCCGCGCAGGGCAGATCTGCGAAGTAGTGTTTGTGATATCCATTTTCAAAATGAAGTTGGATTCATTTGAATTGTCGGTGAACATTCAGTCGATTTTTATTCGGGCTGTTAACTTATCAAAATAGAAGTAACTCAAAATTTCAAAAGCATCTTCCTATATAATTAGTATTCAAACACTAGTACTACATTATCTAGGAGTAGAACACACATCCTATAGTAAGATAGTCTGTCCAACTTCCCGTTTGAGGTCGAAGCCATAGGAAAATTTATAGCAAACTTTCCAAAAAAACATTTCTACACCAATCTTTCCCCCAACTTCAATAAAGATAAATTATTCACACCAGGAAACAATTTTTAATAGCATATCATACATATGTATAAGTTTTTGTTAAAATCCTGCCACAAAAATATGTTTCTCAAAATTTCGCAAACAGAACTTTAGTATTAAAGTGTTTTCCACATTGTTTTTTGATTTGAAATAGATTATTATATCTTTATATTAATTTTTTATTGAAATCCAAGCACAAACAGATGTGGAACAATTGCTTTTCCTATAAATTTTACCCTTGAATTTTGACAAAAGTCTATTTTTGTCAGTGGGAATCAATTTTGAACAGCATTTCATAACATATTAAGTCATTTCTTGTTGAGAGTCTAGGACAAAAAGATGTTTCACAAAATTTGCAATTTTTAACAAAACCAAGTTTTTTACTATAATTTCTGTGCAAATTTTACAAAAAAACAGAAAGGACTTTTCTTTTATAGGTAGTAACACAGTCCAAAAATATATTTCAAACGACATAGACGTCCAGATGAACTGACTGACAGACAGACAGACACACAGACACACAGACAAATAGACGAAGACAGACAGACACTGATAGTTATAGGGCATCTGTTGACTAGTCGACACACACTAATAAGTAAGGTGACAATTGATGAACAGTCAAGAACAATTAGAAGTTTTTAGAAAGCAAAAATTCACCAGTTTGATTTTACTCCTCCCTCAGAGTGTTTCTTTTCTTTTTGTCAACTTTGTTGTGTCTGTCTTAAGAATTACTGCATGCCTTGTTGATCAATCAATTTATACATTTGTAAATACATCCATAGATATATTTCAGTATGTAAAAAATTACCATAAGATTATTTTCTACTTTAGATTTATATTTTTTGAAGGCTGTTTCAAGTACAGGATTTTCTTTTAGCTGGTATTTCTTTGGTGCTTTAATTCCAAAATATCTACCAGTGGGAATAACAACCAATCTGCAAAAGAAATAAAATTTTGTTTGACACAAATCTTACAAGAAAATACATACATAACATTTTATTCTAATCTTAAGTATTTCTGCAAGGCTGAAATAATACACCTGACAATAAGGATTGAATTTCATACAATATATGGTCTATTTTCATGCATTTTAAAGATGAGTATGCTGACTAAACAGACAGACAGCATATCCACGAGGCAGTCAAGCACTATAACAGATAACTGCACACTAGATGTTGAGTAGGACAGCGTTTATTTATCATGATATTCATTATGTTGAGAAAATAAATTAGAATGGACAACAGTATTAATAAACAGCTGCACCATGAGCGCATGATACACCCGTCGGCTTGTGTGTGAATTTTTATGCAATAATCATAAATAGTTTCTGACATACAGTGCGACATGCGAAACCCCCCCCCCCCCCTTTTTTTTACAAAAAACTCTAAAATAAAATTTTGAATCAAAACCAAAAAGTATACAGATCTTTAGATTAATATAATTAAGAAGTATGTAAAATTTTAAGCAATAATCATAAATTGTTTTTGAGATACGGCGCGACATGTGAAAACCCCCCTTTTTTTTTTACCAAAAACTCAATATCTCTAAGATAAAATTTTGAATCAAAACCAAAAAGTATACAGATCCTAAGATTAATATAATTAAGAAGTGTGTAAAGTTTTGAGCAATAATCATAAATTGTTTTTGAGATATGGCGCGACATGTGAAATAAAATGCTCCGCTGGGCGCAGCTTGATACGACCGCAGAGGTCGAACCCTGAACAGTTGGGGCAAGTATGGACACAACATTCAAGCTTGATACAGCACTGAATTTGAATTGTGATTAAATATTTGACACAGCATAGGTTTCTGACACAGAATGAATGTGGTCTAAGAACTTAAAAAATTTTAATTTACCTATTCAAACCATATCATTATTATTTGTTTTTATATATAAATCAGAAATAACCAATTTAAAATGGAAAAATTTTAAGGAAAAAAAAAATCCCTCCCACAAATTTTTTGAACCCCCTTATGATTCATCACCCCCAAACTCAATCACCAGAGCCTTCCCTTTGTGGTATGGTACCTTGCAGTACAATTTCAGAGAGATCCATACACTTGAACACAAGTTATTGTCTGGAAACTAGAAAAATGCTTGTTTTTAGGCCCCTTTTTGGCCCCAAATTCCTAAACGTTTAGGGCAATTACCCCCAAACTCAAACCCAGCTTTCCCTTTGTGATATGGAACCCTGTAGTACAATTTCATAAAGATCCATACACTCCTTTTTTGGCCCCTAATTCCTAAAATTTTGAGGCAATTACCCCCAAAATCAATCCCAGCCTTTTCTTTGTGATATGGAACCTTGTGGTACAATGTCAGAGAGATCCATACACTAACACACAAGTAATGTCTGGAAGTTACAAAAATGCTTATTTTTGGCCCCTTTTTGGCCCCTAATTCCTTAACTGTTGGTACCATAACCCCCAAAATCAATCCCAACCTTCCTTTTGTGGTATTGAACCTTATGGTAAAATTTCATAGAGATCCATTTGCTTAAACTTAAGTTTGAGTGCGAAAACCAATGTGTCTTCAGATGATGGTGACGACGACGCCAGCGTCATACCAATATACGACCACAAAATTTTTTTGCGGTCGTATAATAAAAACACACACCTGTTTTAGTTACTAAGTCCCGTAACTCAAAAAGTTTTAATTTTATTTTCACCAAAAAGTATACAGATCGTTTGACCATCATAAGAAACAACTATGTTAAGTTTCATGAAATTTGGATAAGTCGTTCTCAAGTTACGGTGCAACATGTTTACGCCGGACAGACAGACAGACAGACGACATTTGTATACCACAATACGTCCTGTCAAAATTTTGACGGGCGTATAAAAATTTAACCCTTTAATTGGTTGACAAACTCAAGTGCAATAGAATAAATATTTTGTACATCCAAAAACTGAATCGAAATATAGCTTTTTAAAGGTCAAGGTACAGTAAACAGAGAAAGTTGAGATTTCACAAAACAAGTTTAACCCAGAAAATCGAAAAAATAATGCAGTTATCTCTTTTATTTCCTAAAATATTACTGAATTAATTGATAAGCAGATTTGTAAAGAAAGCACATAGTTGTAATCAGTGAAAAACATTTTTCTTGAAATCATCAAATCTCTAATTATCAATGCATAGATTTTTCTTAAAAATGTAATTTTAATGATGTAAAATAATAATATGGTCAACAACTTCATTTTTACAATACACATCATTCAAAGTGGTATTCAAGGTGAAAAAATATCACAAAAACATCTAAATAACCATCATGTTGTAAGCCGTAAGACATCAACTTTTGACATTTTTAACAGATTGGTTAATACAATGTACACTGAAAATGAAGTCGGTGACCCTATGATTATTTTATATCAACCAAATGGAAATGAATGTATCAAAAACATATCCATTTTTAAGAAAAATCTGTGCATTTGTAATTAGAGATTTTATGATTTTTATTCAAAAGAATTTTTTCACCAACTGTTTGTGCTTTCTATATAAATATTCACCTATTTTGAAACAATTCCTTCAGTATAGACAGTAATATTTAAGGTAGATTAGCTATATACCGCCATCTTAGATTGTGAAACGGCAGTACACTATCGGCCTAGTTCTTTGCTCAAATCTGCAAATTTTTTGGCAGATTGGCAATTAATGTGCAAGCCATATAAGGGGAGTTAACTCTAATAGTGAACATTTTATACAAGAATGCTAATTAAATTTTCATTTTTTACTTGTATCAAGAAAACAATTTCAGTGACATCAATTTTTCTCTTTATTTTCTTAAAGTATACTATAAAAGCTATCTTTTCATATTTTATTTCAAAATTTTATCTAGTAGATTTCTTTAAATTCAGAAAAAAACATCCATTTTTCATGAATTATCTATGCAAAATTGCCATTGCACACCTTGTAGCTTGAAAATTACTGTGACTGACCCATTCTTTTTAAAATATTTTTGAAAAAAGCATGGTCAAATATACATTTTGGTAAAGTATAGGAAAATTCTGTCTAAGGAAATATACACTGATGATCCACCTTAAGACAAGAGGCTGTCAGAGTGACAGCAAACCGGATTTTCCTGCAGTGGTCGAACCCTGAATAGTTGAGCAAGTATGGACACTACATTTAAGCTTAAAACAGCTCTGAATTTGGATTGTGATTGAATATTTGACACAGCATAGGTTTGTGACACATAATGAATGTGGTCAAAGAACTGAAATACTAGAAATTGGACATTTAAATACCTATTATGGTCCAATATCAAAAATCTAAGTACATATTAGAATCAGCATATCAAAGAACCCCAAGAATTCAATTTTTGATGAAATCAGACAAAAGTTTAATTTAAGACCCTTTGGACCTCAATGTGGACCAATTTGATAAAGGAGCCCACAATCAAAAATCTCTCAATACATGGTTAGATTCAGCAATTCAAAGAACCCCATCAATTATTTTTTTGTTGAATCAAACAAAGTTTAATTTTGGACCCTGATTTGGACCAACTTGAAAACTGGGCCCAAAAATCTAATATTTAAATACAGGTTTAGATTCAGCATTTGAAAGAACCCTATATATATTTAATTTATGTTGAAATGAAACACAGGTTAATTTTATCCATAACATTTTCTGTGCAAAGGGAAATAACTCAAACTGGATATGATGCAATTTTTCAAATTATAATCAATAATATAATAACAACAACCAGTGATGACTAAGTTCTCTAAATTTAGATATGATTTAACACTCAAAACATTGTTAGAATCAGCATATCAAAGAACCAAAGAATTCAATTTTTGATGAAATTAATCAAAAGTGTAATTTAGGACCCTTTGGACCTCAATGTGGTATTATCTTATTAATAATGAAAAGAAATACAGGTTTAGATTAAGCATTTCAAAGAACCCTATATATATTCAATTTATGTTGTAATCAAACACAGTTTAATTTTGGACCCCAATTTGGACCAACTTGAAAAGTGGGCCCAAAATCAGAAATCTAAATATATGTTAATATGTTAATAGACAATATAAGCTTAGTTTTCAAAGGAGTTTATTTCATCAAAAAAAAATATATAGCATTCAGAAAATTAGTTTTTACAGAATAACAAACAAACTTGCCACAAAATTCTACAAACAATTTACCAAAGAAAAGAAGAAAAAAATCCAAAATTTTATTTATCATTAATACAATGTCATTTCAAAATCTATAAAACTTATCAGTAACAAGAAATAATTGTAACAGAATGCTGTTACAAAGTCTCCCAAACAAAGCTCCAATAATTCGTCATTCCCATTGTCGCTTGACATTGGGCAATGTCCAGTACAAATTGGTTTATGATATGCATTAGTGACGCCTATGGATATACCCTGTATGTCATTCAAATCTTCTTGAAATTACGAACAGGAATTTATATGGTTAAGGGGTGGAGATCTCGACCGTTTACAAGTTCTCAAAAGGGGGGGGTGATCCCCAGGGGACTCTCCCTTTATTACATATGATTTGTTTTTTTTGTCCTGTACAAGAATATATATGGTTTAGGGGTGGGGATCTCGACTGTTTACAAGTTATCAAAAAGAAGAGGGGTTTGGGTGACCCCAGGGGACTCGCCTTGTATTTCATTTGATTTGTTTTATTGTCCAATACAAGAATATATATGGTTTCGGGGTGGAAATTTTGACCGTTTACAAAAAAAAGGGGGGTGGGATGACCCCAGGGGACTCCCCCTCAATTTCATTTGATTTGTTTTATTGTCCCATTCAAGGATACATATGGTTTAGGGGTGGGGATCTCGCCAGTTTACAAGTTATCAAAAAGAAGGGGGGTGGGGGTGACCCCCATGGACTTCCCCTATATATCATTTGATTTGTTTTATTGTCCCATTCAAGAATATATATGGTTTAGGGGTGGGGATCTTGACGGTTTACAAGTTCTTAAACAGGATGGGGTGGGGTGACCCCAGGGGACTCGCCTTTTATTTTATTAGATTTGTTTTATTGTCCCATACAACAGTATATATGGTTTCAGGTTGGGGATCTTGACAGTTTACAAGTTTTCAAAAAAAAGGGGGTGGGGGTGACCCCCATGGACTTCCCCTATATTTCATTTGATTTGTGTTATTGTCCCGTACAAGAATATATATATATGGTTTAGGGGTGGGGATCTCAACCGTTTTCAAGTTCTCAAACAGAAGGGGGTGGGGATGACCCCAGGGGATTCGCCTTTTATTTGATTTGATTTGTTGTCACATACAAGAATATATATGGTTTCAGGGTTGGGATCTTGACCGTTTACAAGTTTTCAAAAAGTAGGGGGTTGGGTTGAATACGGGGACTCTCCAAATATTTCATTTGATTTGTTTTATTGTCCCATACAAGAATATATATGGTTTCGGGGTGGGGATCTCAACCGTTTACAAGATAAAAGCACATTCTCAAATTGAAAGGGGGTGGGGTAAGAATATATATGGTTTAGGGAGACTTAATTATCTACAAAATGTCTAATAATGAACAGTTAATTTCAAATTTCATTTATAGTCCTACTAGTAAATTTCAAACTTTATATATACAGTCCTACAGATCTTTTTCAAATAAATCTGTCACTCCAATGATATTATATGCTAAGATATAACCCAGATCTAATTAATAATTAATAATTTAATTAACTTCAAAATGTCTAATAATAAAGCTTATAATCATTACCACTTAGAAATAGATAATTTTCAAATAAATCTGTCACTCCAATATTTTGTTGTGAGATAAGACATTATGCTTAGTCATAAAAAAGATAACAAGAGTAAAATATTTAAAAATTCCACTTTTGGATATTAAAAATGGCGATAACTCACAAAGGAGATATAATATCTTGAAAATTGAACTAGACCTTCATTAAGTCCCAGGAAACAACATATTTAAATTTGAAAAAAATTTGTTAAAGCGTTTTCATGTTATTCTGCTGACAAGCTGTTTCGCAGCCGCCCGTAGATCCGCCCAGCTGCCCGCCTTATGTCACCATTTTAATAACCGATATTTCCTTCGAAAATCCGGTTAAAAATCGGAGAGCAAGTCATGCAGCATGGACATTGCAGCAACTTGCAAAATGTTGGCCAACAGAATAAGGGCTTACTGGACGTCTAATTGTAATTCTTAGAAAATAGGGGAGATTCTGATATAGCAACAACTTTCAACAATAAAATAATCTGTCTTCAAAGCAGTTTGAAAAAAATATATATATATATACACTTGTTAAGTATCATATCTATTTTCTTCCAACAAATCATTTCTTTAAGTTTTATTTCATTAATTACCTCCCACTATTTTCAACACCCATGAACATATAAATTTTGGTCGCAAACGGTAATATTTGATTACATAATCTGAAAGTTGAAACGTTGAACTTTACAGGAAAAATAATCCCACTATTGGGAAAAAAATGTATCATTATATAAAGCCTTCATTATAGCAATTTTTCAACAAATTTCCAATTTACAGATGAAAATTGCATCAAAGGCATAAAACCTTGCTACTTAAAAGAAGCAAAAAGTCCATATTTTTTCAATTTTACTAAAAATCAGATATAATCTAAACATGTATGTTTAAAATTTTGGTAAAACTACAAAATCACAGAATTTCTAATTTGCTACTTACAAAAAATGTAAATGAGTGATTTAAAAATCACTTATTTCAGTAATTCCCCTGACTGATTTAGAAGGAAAAGAAGAAATCAAATGAGCAGTCAAGGCCAGAATAGTAAAAAAATAGACACAAATAAAATCAACCAGCCTGAAGGATGGGACGTGGAAGGGTGATTGTGTTTGTGTTCATTGAATACAAACGATGACAAATATAACTGAAGACCTATGATGCTGTGAAGATTGGAACTGTAAAATAAATATTAGTGTTTAGTATGCCCATTTTAAAAAGGAACTTAGATATCAAAGATATGTAACTTAACTTAAGGGAACAACCATATAACTTGAAGAGAAGAGGGAAGGGTATAGGTTTTTTTCATTTTGAAATTCTGTTTCGTACCAGGTGAGTATCAATTTATCTATCATTTTGAGAATTTAAAATTACATTTAATGGCAAAAACTCTCAATCAGAATAATTTTTGTCCTTCTTCCAGGTCAAAATATTTGTTTCTTTAAAGTTAGGAGTCAGAATGTATAATTTAAGGGGGAAAAAAATGTGAATTAACCTTATAAGACCATTTGTGGTCTTATATTTTGTATAAAATGATATATCAACCCCTTTTTTTTTTTAAACTGTGTTGAAAAAGATTAATAATTGTGGATGCAATTGTTAAAATTTGGATATGTATGGCTGCAAAGTCTATTTTTCAAGACAACCAAGTTTTGGTGTAAACAAAATCACTTTCATTTATCACTTGAAAAACAATAGATTATAATTATGAAACTGGATATCTGGTTATTTGTATTGTAATTTTCTTTTGCATTATTGGAAATTACAAGTTTCTGGAATCAGAAAGCAACCGTTACCAGCAATTGAGCAAGCAATACACAGTTAGGAATTTGGTTTCGCATTTTGGCCCTGGTGAATTTCAAATACGAAAGTTATTGTGTAACAAAATTAATTTTAAATAGCAGAAGAATAATTAAGCCTTCAAAGTAGGTTTATACATGTATATGAACATCAAAATTGTCTTTTGCATGTTTTATAGGCCATTTTCTGTTAGATAGTCCGTATTTTCAAATCCATACTGGCCATAATTCCAGAAATTATTGCAAAGTTTTCAAACAAATTTTTTACGCCCGAACTTTTCAATTGAATTTTATGGAAAAATGATCACTTGATAAATAAATGTCAATGGTTTCAGAAAATGTATCACTCAAATCGATTGAAATTCTACTTTGAACCAAATTTTGGGGACATTAGTGACATTTTCACCTCCCTTTTTTAAAATACTTTGTATAAAAAAATGCAGATTGTTGCCATGGTTACAACAAAAGAGGATTCTATTTCGCCATTTTATCTTTTGGAAAACAGATCTATTGAAGGTGCTGTTTCTATACATATGCACATACAACATGTACATGAGACAAACAGTAAGTCTTTATTTGTTAGAAAGCAAGTGTCAATTTCAAGTTTTTTTCCTAACTGAATTTTGTCATTAAACTGGAAAATTGAAAATCACAGATCCACTTCTCATGAAATAATCTCTCTTATTAAATCTATCCAAAAACACCATGGAATAAAAATTAATTTTGAATGGACCCCAGGACATGCAGATGTCAGAGGAAATGAAATAGCTGATAAACTAGCTAAAGAAGCAGCTAAGGAGTTGAATGAAATCGAAAAAGAAGCCCATATTACAGTAACAAAACAAGATATAAAAACAGCAGCAAGAATTTTAGTGAATAAAAAATGGCAACAGTGTTGGGACAATTCTGATACATGAAGATTCTATTATAATTTCCACCATAATGTCAATGAAAAATTAACACTTGATTTTCCAGATCATAAAACATCAAAAATTATTAGAAATTTAAGATCAGGATACTACCTATATAAAATTACCAAAACAAAATCAATTCAAATGTAGATCCAAAGTGTGAATGTGGTCAATTAGAAACCGTGGAACATTATTTACTATTTTGTGAAAATTATGAAGAGGCTAGACAAAAACTTATACACAAGATATTTTTTAACATGGGATTAGTACATATTGATTTAAAACTTTTATTGTCAATAGAAAAAAAAAGACAACTCTTCCGTCTCTAGAGAAACCCTAATGCGATTGTTGTGTGATTTTATTGGCGAGTCGCACCAATTTGATTAAGAAATTTTTTTTTATTATTAATGTTAAATTATAATTTTTCCTTTTTTATCTCTAAATATTTTAATACAGTTGCCACCTATAATTATAATTAAAGTACAAGTGAGTTGTTAACCAGAGTGAAAATTGTACACGCGAGACTTTAATATTTACAAGAGAGACAATCCAGTGTCAACAGCGACACCTACAGAATACAAAATACCTAACTGTGTATTGCTACATGTACGGTACCTGAATTGGAAAGCAAGCATTTTGAATATATACCATGAAAATTGCATTTAAATATTAGCATGGCAGGACCTAGATAAATTAAATTCAAATGATTTTTATGTTTCAGAATATTAGAAACTAAGCTTGATTTTGTTGTTTCAATCCTGCAGAGGTTCCCAAAATAAACTATGTTGAGGAAATGTTTGAGATGCTCCCCATATAACAAAGGAAATGAGATCTTTACAAATTGACATCGTTAATAGAAGGACATTCCGACAATAGACACCTGTGCACAACAGGTGATTTAAACTGTAAATGAGTGGACCGTATCAAATGAAACTCAGGTGTTAGTATATTTTGCCATCTTCTGCACATTGGAAAAAAGTCAGGCTTTTCGATATGCACTCATAGCAGATTTTGAGGTTTAAAACAGTCAGATTTGTAAAAAATTATTCCTTCTGATGAACCTTGATACTGATACCTTGTGATGCCGGTTTCATTTTTAAATCAACTAACCTAGCATAGAAGTATCTAAACACTAATAAACAAACGCCAAGGCCAATGGAAGGCAAAAATATATCTTCTACTCTTGGATAATATTCATCTCCGGAAGTTTGAGCTATCATGTCCTCCCATGTGTATCCCACAGGTAGCCAAAAATTTGGATTCCAAAACCATTTTAAATATTTATCCAAAGCGTCCATCTTGTTTGTTGATGATGGCGATCATGTGGAGATAACTCCTCTCAGTTACGGGAAATAGATCTTTGATCATCTTTGCTGATAAGATTTTTTTTCAAGAAATCAAGCAAACTAAACATTGACTTTTGCAACTTCTTTGAAGGCATATTACTTGCACTACATAAATCCCAAAAGGGATTAGCACTGTCACGGAATAGAAGTTCCTTCATAATATAAGTTCCAAATGGAAACAATATTCTGGAGTATTATTTCCACTGGAATAAATATTACAGTAAATGTTCCTAACGGAATAAATGGTATAGAATATTTGATCCAACAGGAACAGATATTATGACATTGTTTATAACAAAGTTTCCAGTGGAACTTCTGTTAGGCGGAACAAATATACGTTGACAGCACAACATTTTTGCTTATGCAATTTAGCTGTCTTACTTTGAATGTCTTATATGTTATGTATGATCATAGATATGTGTTGTTATTGTTATTAATGTCGGCAAAAAGCTCTACAGAGCCTATGTTTGTCACATGTTTGTAATGTTTCATGTAAACCCGACTTAAAATAGCATTTTCTATTCTAGTATACTATTATATACATCTATATTGATCATCCCATGATTAATCTGAAAGATTAATTACACATAACGTGTACGCATTTAATACAATAAACCTTAAATTCAAACCATAGATGTATAAACCCAATGGTTTAATGGGTTTATACATCTATGATTCAAACCATGCAATTCATCAAAAAACTAGACAAAGTGATGCCCCCCCCCCCCCCAAATCCACTCTGAAGTAACTGTATTATAACAAACTCAATGTGAGACTTTCTTTGGCCCGGATATTATTGTGTCTGGATGACACAAATGATGCCCCCGCAGATGCAAAGTTTTATCTTAAAATATATAAAGTTGATCATGGGAGCACATAGGTTTATGGTTCACTGTAAACTTCCTAGGCCCTGATTCAAACTGTAGGAGGAGTTATCCGGAAATGCTATGCACCTCTTATGCAAGTTATACGTAGAAATCTCAAAGGCTGTACAAAACCTGTAAACGCAGCTGCATATGTATCCATGGTAAGACCTGCAGTGGAATATGCATGCACAGAGGGTGGTAAAAGGGGGGGGGGTGCTTGCACGGAAAAAACGTGAAATAAGACATAATTTCACGTTGAACGTGAAATAATTTCTGTCATGAACGTTGCACGAAAAATAAAGACTATTGTGAACCTTTTGTGACTAAGTCACTGTCTTCTTGTATATATAAACTCTCTGTTTTACTTGTTATTCCCGATTTAGTATACACATTTATGATGTAAATGGTTTACGGCTTTTAAAAAAGTATTTCTTGACGATCCCTGCCAAGTATTTGAATTTTATTTGAAAAATACCGAGCACGCAAAATAAGCATTCGAAAATCACGATGCACGTAAAATTAGATAAGCAGAACACGTTGAACGAGGCACCTGTCTTGCACGACTGAACGTTAAATAAAAAAGTAAAAACACGTTGAACGTGAAATAAAAAACGGCGATCACGTTGCACGAAAATAACCCTTTACCACCCTCTGCACAGTATGGGACACATCAACCCAAAATAAGATCAAGGCAATAGAACAGGTACAGAAAAGTGCAGCACGATTTGTGAATAACAACTACACATACCGAACACCTGGCTGTGTCACAAATATGGTCAAAACTCTAAAATGGGAAAGCCTCGAAGAACGGAGGGAATCAAACAGACTATGCATGTTATTCAAGATCCAGCATGAACTTATAGACATAGACCGTCAACAATATTTAACCCCAAATGATATGGCGGACCAGAGGTAAAAACCGCTTCTACCAAGAAAGAACATGTACAGATGCCTACGGCCAATCTTTCTTCCCGAGGACCATCAGGGATTGGAACAACTTACCAACAACAGTTTCATCGGCCAACACAGTTGAGGGATTCAGGGCTGCCCTAAAGGCATGCTCTGAAAGGAAGTAGGTAACATCAGTTGTACATAATTTTAATTGAATGTATTATATTGCGAACGTTTTTAAATTAAATAGCCAAGAGAGAACTTTCTGTGTTGCCCGACATTGCGCAAAGTATTCGCGCGGAACCAATCACATTCAGTTTTGAATCCGGTTCCTTACCTGGAAGAAGAAGAACAAGCCAGTATATACTCCAAAAAGGACAAAGTTCAACTATCTCCCAAAAGAGCAAATATTAGTAAAAATCAAAACCCTGACCACATGCACACCTTCAATATATATACATACAGACAGCAAAGTGAAAACTTCCTAGGATTCAAACTGTAGGAGGAGTTATGCGGAATAACTATATACCCATAATGGGACGGACGGACGGAAGGACGGGTGGACGGAAGGACATACGGACGGACAGGGGTAAAACAATATGCCCCCAATTTCAGTTGCGGGGGCATAAAAAAGGAATTATATGAAAATGTCAGATTTTAACAATTTGTAAGGAGTGTCCAATGATTTACATAAAAAGAAACAATTTCTTTAATGTGATACCCAAAGTACACATATTTTGACAGGTTTTCACCTACGTTTATTATACGATCCAGACAAAAGTTTCCATTCTCTGTATATTTTGTAGATATATCCTTATTTTATACTCTATAGTTCCACCAATTTAATTTTGAATCCATATTGAATCATAGAAAAATGGTTTTGAACCGACCTCCAAACGATCCATGATTCTTTAATGAGGAGTACCCATATTGCATCCTTGCTAAAATTCGCGTAAAAATCGAATGACTGATGTTTTCTCCAAATATTTGGAACAATTTGACAATAGTTCGTGCTTACTATTATTTTTTTATGAAATGGATGCCTGTAACATATTGAAATTGCTAATTTTTAAAAAGTTGACTTTTTGTGGAAGTCGCATATGGCGACGTTTCGTAGATTTTTACTTTTTCCAGTAAAAACTATATCTGTTGATATATACTGTGAACGTTTTGTGAATATCTAAATATATTTAGCCATGTTGAAAGACGTGCATAATGTCAAATCATAAAAATACAAATTATTTAGTCTCAAAGAAAACGTGTAAGATATCCGCTGCTATTTTTCTGCTAAATGGGTGCAATTTAGGTACTCGATGCAATTTGGGTACTGCGACATTAAATACAAATAGACACATGTCAGTGGAACGACTACCTTTAAACCCAAATTGATGATCTGATATTAAAAATTGATTGATTTATTGGTTGGTGTTTAACACCACTTTCAACACTATTGTGCTATTTCGTGGCGGTCAGTTTTTATTGGTGGAGGTAGCCGGAGTGCCCGGAGAAAACCACCGACCTTCGGTAGGAAAAACGACAATCCTAGTCAATTAAGATTGGAGTCGAGCGCACCTTGCACGTGCGGGATTCGAACTCACAACCTCATTGTTGACTGGCTAGTGATACAGAATAGTTCCGACTACTTAGACCACTCGGCCACCGAGGCCCCGATATTAATAATTTGTTGTCCATACAATTTAAAACATATTTTTCCATCACCTTAGAGAGAATTGATGTTATAGCAATCGGCCTATAATTGTCTTTAATTGTCAGTAAGATCACCGGCTTTAGATTTGACGATAGTACAATATTATAATGATATATACACAATATACAATTTTATATAGATATTGATGAAAAAGTATATTAATTTGCCCTATTCATGAGTTTGTAACGTTTTGTTTTAAAAGATAAAAGTGTATTACTCATCTTTATTTCATTTGGTAAACTGTTCCATATTTGAGAACCAGAATATATAAAAGTTTTCTTAAAAAAAATTGTTTTGGCTTCGGAAGTTTTAATAGTTTTTCATTAGCTGAATAAATTATAATTTTGATTATCGAGTTTTTCACAATCTACAGTCTCTAATTGTTCATCTGAAATATTGACATCCAAACTGTTCCCAGTTGAATAAAGCCTCTGTTTTGAACCAACAATCATTGATTTACATTTTTTGGCATTTAGTTTCATACAATTTTCCAAACACCAGTTTTAAATTATATAAATATCATTTTGAAGGTTAGCATTTAACTCATGTACATTATTACCTTTACTATGCAAAGTAGAATCATCTGCATAAATTTTCTATGTTCAGTGGTAAATCATTGATGTATGAAATAAATAACAAAGGGTCAAGGATAGAGTATTGTGGTACACCAGTTTTTATGTATTTAGTATCAGACATGACTTTATTGACCTTATAACTTGTTGAATTCGTCAAATCTAAAGCCAGTGATCTTAAGAGCATAGACAACAGTACAAATATCCTGTGAGGTGCATATTATAAATGTTTTGCAGCAAGTCCATCGGTGTCAGCAGCTTTTCCACCATTAATGACTTTACAATGGATTGCAGCTCATCTACAGTTATTATTGCATCTTCTGAAAACGGACAGACAGCTACACCTTGTTTTACTGCATCTATGAAAGTTGTAGTAGTTACAGAGTTTAAGAAAGAGTCAAAATGATCACGCCACATCTGTGCAATTTCGAAAGAACCAGTTGCTCTATTTACAGTTTGTGAAAGTGGAATGTTTTTTTTTGTTGTTTTCATGCCTATTTCCGTTCCAAAAACCACACAAAAGTCGATGACAATTCATATTTTTGCACTGCATGCATTCAAACGGTATATTCATGTCATTTAAAAAAAAGCATTTCAATTTGCCTGCTAATATCATCTTCATTACAGTTATCCCAATCAACTATGTTTGGTCTGTGACCTACGTTGGTGTGTCATTTTAAAAAAAATGTCGAATTTTCAGTACACCTATGCTATTTTTTTAATTTTTATTGGAAAATGCAGTTGTGAGTGTTGAAATGAAAGTTTGTGGGATTTATGAGTCGGAACATCAATAATGAACACGATATGGATCTGTTTCGATAGGATAAACATATATTAAGTACGAATTTTGCGTAATTTATGCGCGCACAGTGTCAGGGTGACATATTTCAAATGATTGTTTTCCTTTTTTCTGATTGCCTTGAAATCTA